CTCTTGTGTAGACATGCTTTCACTTCTCTCGGTATACACTGAGGAATGGAAGTGGTGAGTCACGTGGCAACTCCATGTTTAACCTTTCGAGAAGCTGCCAGACTGCTTTCTAAAGAGGCTGCCTATTCATCCTTTAAGGCTCACCTACAATTCACCAGACACCAACTTCCTACCTCTGCCATGCCAGACTGACTTGCTAGCACCAATGATAAGACCTGTAAACTGAAGAAACAGCACCTAGTGTGACAAGTGCGACAGAGACAGACACTAGGAAGAGCAGCAGCTCGAAGAAAAGAATAAACTGTGGAAGGGTTGAAGCATGAGGCCTTTACCAGGTGGATGGTGGGGGCAGGAGATATGGACAGAATGGCCCACGGAGGTGAAGTGGTGCCAATAGTTCTTGATGGCTGTAGCATTGCTGGATATTTTAGAGGAAGGAAGGGGCAGGGCAAGAGCTGAGGGCCAAACAGTCTATCTGCTCCTTGTAGGCAATGGGGAACCACTGAAGTGCCTCAAAAGCTGGGAAGAACATGACCAGATCTGTGTTTTAGAAAGATTTGAGGCAGACCGGAAGATGGATGGAAATCTACAGGAATGGCAGCAGAGGGACTACCGCAACCGTCTGAGCATGATTCAAGGGTGGGCAACGGCAGCAGCAGCAGCAAGGAGAATGGGTGGGTTAGGAGTGATTTGAGAAACAGGATCAACAGACTTAAGTCGCCCCCATCCCCTGCTTCTTCCTTCCAAATGGTGAGTAGAGACAGAAATCCGGGGTAATAATTTCCTGGCTTGAGTAGACAGCACTGCCTTTAAGCAACAGAGGGAAGTGAGGAGGAGTAAGGGGTTTGGGAGAAAAGATAATGAATTCAGTTTTGCATGTTGAGTTTGAACAACCTGAAACATCCAGACACACACATGCGCCCAGTTGGTCCCTGGACAAAGGGCTAGATATGGAGGTCATTAGTATCCGCACTGGGATTAATGGACGCCCTGGATGCAGACAAGGCACAAAAGGGAAGACACAGTGAAAAGAGCACTGGGGACAGAACCCTATGAACGTCAGCATTTACTGGGTGGGCGGAAGGAGTCCCTGAAGGGTGGTGATCAACTAGCACCTCAGGCCACCCTCACCCAGCCACTTTTAACAACCAATTCAACGACTGCTTCTTGGTGACCTTTCCTACGAGGGGCAGAATTTATAATACAGTAATACCTTACCTGAAAAATTCAAGTCATCGGCAACTTCATTTACAGGGAACACTGGAAACAAAACAGTAACAGCTGGCCACTTACCAGGGTCTGTCCTGCGGCAGGCACTGAGCTAAGTTCTTCCTTATTTAGTTTGCACAACTCTGTTAAGTAGTATTAACAGATCCATTTTACAGATGAGGAACTGAAGCATACAGGTTGTGAACGTGCTTAAGTCCACAAAGACAGCAAGTGACGAAGCTGGGATACAAGCCCAACAGGCAATTTGACTCGAATTATTTGGACTTAAAAAAGGGGAAGTCTTAGGGAAAACAGATCTATTCGAAGCCCTGCCCTAAAGCTCACTCCCGTTATACAAAAGGCACTCTTCCCGGCTAGATCTCACGCAAGCCTAGCCAAAATTCCAGCCAACCTCGGAGAGCCCGCTTCTAACCTAAATGTCCAAATAAAAAGGGGAAATTCTTCCCGGCAGGCAGGCAGGCAGCTGCCCAGGGAGGAGGAGAGCAAGAGAGAAAACAGCATACACAAGAACTCAAAGCACCGTGTGTGGTCATCTCGGGCAGCCGTCCACCCTGGGTCCTTCCACTCTCACTGCACACTGTACTCCATAGCAACCGAGGCCAGTCATAATGGACCTCGGTTATCCAAACCCCAAACCAAACTCACCAAAACCCCCCAGGCAGTGTAACCTGCTGAAGGAAGTTAAACTCTAAAAGCACATACTACAACTAAGATTTGAATGCAGTTGTTCTTTTTGTGTTTCTTTTTAGTTGGTGCTTTAAAGGTGGAGCCCTGACTTCGCAGAAAACTTAATCAGCCAGACCAACCCAGAACCCGAGGTCTGGCAATCTCACCCACTTCCAGATCTTCAATTACCACTCCCACATCTTGTCCCCAATCCTAAGGATTCCCAAATTCCAGCTCCACATGCCCAGTTCTGTTAGGCACTCCAATGGACCCACAAACCCAAGCGTGTAAATAAATTTATCTTCTCTACCTCTCCCAACTCTGTCCCCCGGTAGTACCTATGTTCTCCCAAATTCAAACTTTTAGAGCCATTTTCTCCCTCTTCCTTTATTAGAGACACCCAGTTAGGACATGAAGGACTTGGCATCTCAAACATCTTCCCAACCTGCCCCTGATTTCCATTCCCATTCCATCATCTCACTGAGGTCCTCAGCTCCATCTCCAAACCTGACTGGGGCAGTGGTTCCCACGCAGGGGGCACTAGACAATTCCACGAGGTTGGGGGATGAAAATGTCAAAATTTGTGTTATTTTTATCTAATAATGAATTAAACTCTACCAAGCAGCACACTGACCTGGTGCCCTCACAAGGGTCCTCAAGTGAATAAGTTCCATATGATACATAAGACGAACACAACACTGGGGGGGCATCAGGGAGCTGACCTCTCTCATTCTCTCGCTTTCAGTGTGTTGAGGTGATGTTATCGTTTGTATATTACAAGATTTCATCAACTCAGTTAATATTTATAAAAACACAGTCCATAAGTCGTGGAATCTTTACAACGAGACGACAATCTTTGTTTTACAGGGGTTAGCTCAAGATCTCTTTGTAACAGCTGTCTCCAAACTTGCTGACCTTTTCTGAGCTGAGGAGCGGTTGTGAACAGCACAACACCTAGCAACTGTTTTGAAAATGGATATATAGTAACAGTTCCTTCATTTGCAAGTTTGCTCTACAATGTAGGTCTATTATGCTTTCTTTCTAGATTTCTATTTTTTGTTTGTCATAAGATATATATTGTTAGTACATTACTACATGTAAGTACAAATAAATATATTGAGGTCGTGTGCTCAATACATTTTTGCTGATAAGGATACAGGACCCAAAGTCTCTAGACCAATGTACCGTTTGGCTCAAGCTCATCTTCTAACTTATTCAACTGCCTTCTCAAGATCCCCACTCGTATGTCCAACAGGCATTTTAAACTCCAAATCTCGCAAACTGAGCTCCTGATGTTGCCCGCCTGCCCGCCCACCCGCCCACTCTCTTCCAGCCGTCTTTCCCATGTCAGCCAAGAGCAATTTCAGAGCTCAAAGCCTTGGTGTCCTCCACATTCCTCTCATACCCCTCCCCCTCAGCAAGTCATGTGAGCAAATCCCACTGTTCTACCTTTGGTCAGTTCCCCTCCCCTACTCCTTGGCATCAAGCTTCCTGTGCTAAGTTCACTCATTTTGGCCTATCTCAAGTGCTTCTTACTCATCGTGGCATCCCCTGCCGCAGCCAGCAGAGTTCTTGGCAAGCACGCATACGCAATGTACTTATCTGTATATTTATTTTTCAAATGAATCGAATCCACAGGAAACTGATCTGACGGACGGAAGCTAAATAAGAAATCTGGAATCTCCTTTAATAATCACCTCCCTTTTGGGCGCGGTACTGAAGAGGCAACGTGGGCATCTCCTGGGTGCTCAAACTGGTTGTACTAGAATCACTCGGGGCACTCGGCAAAAACAGAAAGGCCCAGGTCCATCCCTTCTTCAGTGAGTCTGGGCCTCTGTTCCTCATTAACTTTCAGGTGATTCCCACACACAGGAGTTTGAGAACCACTGTCCTAGAAAAAGATGGCTAAAAATAGCTTGGGGTTAAGTACTCCCAGACCAAGTCCTGCACTGTTACAACACCTGGGGGCAGGCCCAGGCCGCCCGCAGCTGGAAGAATCCCTCAAAAAAGTCCTTAAGAGGAAGAAGAGTCTTCAGACTCCTAGGAGGCTTGGTGATCCAAAAGCCACTGCGGGCACAACTGTTAATCCTCCGGCCAAATGACGGTGTAACCTTGGACCAGTTCTCTGCCCTGGTACCTCAGTCTATCTGGACTACAGAGTTAATAATTACACATTGTTTGTACGGATGCTGCAAGAAGAACGAGGCTGCTCACACAAAGCACTCTGGAAAGTTGCATAAAAACGGAAATCACTTTCGGCCCTAGAGCCCTGGCTTCTCAACCTTGGAGCGCAGGCCCCCTGGGGGCCCCGGGGGCGAGCTGGGGGGCTCGGAGAGGCGCACCGCCCTGGAGCTGAGCTACCTGCCCCTCCCCCGGGTTTCTCTCCGCACTCCCCGCCCGGTGTCAGGGTCGGCGCAGGGCGCCACAGCCGCCGACCACAACTCGGCGGCCCTGCGGTCCAGGCGGGCCCGGGACTCAGGGCTGCTCGCGAGCCGGGAAGACACGTGGCCCAGGCCGGGGGCCTACCTGGGCTGAGGTGCTGAGGCTCCGGCGGAGAGCGGCGCCGGCGGGCCGGGCGAAGGCGGAGAGCATGGCTGGGGCGGGCGGGGCGCGGACCGGCAAGCGAACGAGCTGGCAGCACACAGATGACTCCAACGACCTCCACACTCCCCAAGGCCTCCGGGCTCCGCTCCGCCTGGCCTCGCGAGACTGTCCCGGCTTCCGGCCCCACCTCCACCTCCCAGATGTCGCGGTAACACGGCCACTTCCGGGCCGTAGAGGAGGAAGGTGGCCCGCTCGGTGGGAGTGCAGTCTGGGGTTGGGTCCTAGCGCGCGTCGTGTTCCGTGCGGCCCGTGTGGGAGGGACAGCCTGCGTTCGAGGCGGAAGAGGACGGGTTTAGGCTAGCAGAGCCTTAGAGGAGCCATTTTCCAGGTGCGGCCCTAGCCAGAGGCTCTGATAAGGAGATCGGCCAAGGTTGCGGAGCAGGCCCGGCAGAGGGGGTGCGGTCCTAGCTCCTGGCCTCAGCCAAACCCACCCCTCCTGCCCCTGGAGGCGGGAGGGGGCCCCGAGCTCAGGAAAGCTCTGGAAAGGAAAGGGGGGAGTGGAGGGGGGAGGTTGAGAGTCCCGGGGATGGGGCGGGAGGATGGGAGCTCCTCCGATCCGTCGCTCCCGTGCGCTGCCTTGCTCACACCCTCGCTGGTTCCGCCCGCCGTGCCGTGGTCCCTCGAGGTGCGGTGGGCCTTCGTTACGGTTTACAAAGCTTTAGAGGCAGCGCTGCTGAGATGCTGCCACCGAGCACTGACTTAGCGCTGGGCACTGCCGTGCGGCTTACAGGAGAGCAGTCCTGTGTTACAGAGGAGGAAGCAGGTATCCAGGTTCTAACTTGCGCAGTCGCCCGCGCCCTGCTCAGGTCCGCCCAGTAATGCTGTGAGCACGGGCACACTGTTTCTGCTTTAGGGATGAGGAAATTGGTTCAGTGGATTTGTTCAAAGCTTACCCAGATAGAAAGTAAGCATTTAGTTCCTGCTTATAAGGAGCTTATCATTTAAATTTACAAACTAAATTACAAGCTTCATCCCTTCCCCCCTACTGTTTTCTGGGCATAGAGTTCCTTGACCCAAAAAGTTCAGAGTCAAGTGGGACAAATAGAGAATGCGAGAAGTCACTCCCTTGATGGGAATGTACAAAGCCAGTGGGAGGACCAATGACTGAGCCTGCTTGGGAACGGTGGTTAGGGAAGCAGGAGTGTAAAAGGACAGATGTAAAGGGAACAGGAGAAGGGCGTGAGTGGTGACTGGCTTACTATTCCCTCCCTCCCGCTTGTTTATTGAGCTTCTAAGATGTGCCAACCCAATCTTGGTGCTGGATAATCAACTGTGAAAAAGATCCGCACAATTACTACCTTCAAGGAGTTCAGGGTGTAGTGGGGGAGACAGGTAAACTGCAAGCAGCATGATATGGGCAACACTAGGAGAATTACGACGTGCTGTGGGGACACAGGAGGTGCATCTAACCCATTTGGGGCGCAGGTGGGGACCATGTGAGAGAGGACCTCCAGAGGATGAAGCGTCTAAGCTGAGACATGAGTAGAGTAGGAGTTACTCAGTCGAACCGTTCAACTCCAGAGGAGGGAGAGATCCTCGCCTGGGCAAGGGAATTCTCAAAGGAGGGGTACTTGGTGGGGAGGGGGAGAGTCCCAAGAAAAACCTGGAGGTAGGAAAGCCTAGGCCTTTATTCAGGGGACACTTTTCTGTTGGGATGGGGACATGAGGACTAGCAGTATCCTTTATTTTATCATTGACTGTGTTCTCTGGTTAATTATTTACCCCTGTATCTTATCACTAGAACCAGAGAGCAGCTTGTGGTCATGTATGGCTTTCCTCTCTATCTTTATTGTCCAATACGTGACCAGGCTGAGAGTGGGTCTCTGAATTTTGAGTGAGTTGAACAGTTTTAGATAAGACTGGAAAAAGCAGGTTGGAAAAACCAGATTGCGCAAGACCTGTGAATGTTAGCGGAAAAGTCTGTACTTTATTCCTTGGGAAGTATGTGTTTATCAAAGGCTTTTATGATGCCACCAGAACCGCATTTGAGGAAGATTAGACTGACCTTGCTAAGGCATGCTAAGGATTCCAGGGAAAAGTGTGGAGCGCAGGAAGATTGTCAGGAGGCTGTTGTGTGAGATGATAAAGATCTTGAGTTATGATGGTGGTCGCAGACAAGGAGAGGGTGGGGCTGATGAGGGGGTCTCAAGGAAAGATTTAAGAGTTTATGCTCATTTGGGTTTAAGAAATGCATGAAAGGGATGTGGAAAATCAGGCTGGAAGAAGTATATATGTACAGAAACAGGGAACTTGGGGGCCGTGTGGAAGGAGAACTGGCTGGAGAGAAAAATCAAGAGCTCCGTTTTAGGTGGGCTGAATTGGAAGTGATGGTGAGTTGTCCACATGGAAATATCAGTGGACAGATGGGGGGTTACTCCCAAGAGGAAAGGTGGGATTGAAACTGAGGAAAGGCCAGGGCTGACGTCATCCCTGTAGAGGGGAGAGTTGAGGCCATAAGAGAGAAACTAGATTCACAGATTCTCAGGTTGCTCCCACATCTGGGCTCCATCTCCCCATCCCTGCCAAGTCAGTCAACCCCTGTCAGCATCTCCATGACAAGGAATCGCTACCTCCCAAGTCCTCTACTCTGGCCACCCCAAACAACTTGCCTATTGGAAAAGCTGTCCTTGCTTTCAGCTTCTAGCTGCTTCCCTTTAAATCCCAAGATTGTTCATAACTGTCTTAACAGCTGCTGCATCAAGCACTGGCTCTGCGCCAGGCACCATGCTCTGTGTTGCACGTGTAGCTGTTATACTGAACGTGCAGGGCAGCAATCAAGAAGCAGAGTACGATCGTAAAACAGCTTTGTCTTCATCTCTTCTCTTTCTTGAAATCTTTCCTTGCCCTTGGATTACATCTGGTCACCAGGACAGACTTAGTGCAATAGCCTAAATGTCCAGTTCACCTAAACGAGCAAAACTCTGAACTTAACTCAAAGGTAAAGTGTATGCCCTTTCCCTCTCGAACTTCCTTTAGGCTCCCACCTTTGGAGAGGAGACTGATTGACTTCTCTATTTCTCCATCTTGCTTCCTCATCCCCCCCTTCCCACCAGGCGCACTGAAGCTTCAGACCCATCAGTGTTGGTGGAGGGGGGTTGTAAGAGTAGAGAGATGATGGGGGCCAGCCCGGTGGTGCAGCAGTTAAGTTCGTACGTTCCACGTCAGCAGCCCTGGGTTCGCCAGTTCGGATCTCAGGTGTGGACATGGCACTGCTTGGCAAGCCATGCTGTGGTAGGCATCCCACATATAAAGTGGAGGAGGATGGGCATGGATGTTAGCTCAGGGCCAGTCTTCCTCAGCAAAAAGAGGAGGATTGGCAGCAGGTAGCTCAGGGCTAATCTTCCTCAGAAAAAAAAAAAAAAAAAGAGTAGAGAGACGGGTAGGACACCTTTGTCATCTGGTGTTAATATTCTCTGACCTTGAGGACGGTTTGTAGCTGACTCCATCCTCCATGCAGTGGGTCTCTCCTACCTGTATCTCCCCAGACCTAGGTGGTTACACCTCAGTCTTGCTGCTTTCAGTTGCTCCCTCAGCCCCTGGTTCTGGAATCCCCCACTGCCTGCAATTGGTCCTGGTGGTCCCTGCAAGGGGCCCTCTTGGGCAAAGTCTCTCTAAGATGGTCTGATTGGTCCTTCCTCCTGCCTGGCCCACATCTGGTCTACAGGAAATACTTATGCGTCTTTTGCCCCAACAAATTCTGGGAGTGCAGGTTGTTTCAGATGCAGCTGCCTCTCCTTGCTTTGCTAACAGCTGTTCAGCCTCACACTTTTCCAGGCTGGGCCCACCACCAGCCTCTATGCCCACGCAAGCTTCGGAGGGTAGAGACCAAGCTATTCTAGGAGTTTTCTTTCTGGTTGCATGAATTGTTCAAGAAAGCTAAGACTTGTGCATGTTTGAAATCGGAGCGAGAGATGCTAATAGAGGGGAAGAGCTTTGAGATGCTGAGAGACCGAGAGGGAGACCAGGGGACACCCAGGGAGACTTGAGGAGGTTTGGGTAACTAGTAGCCACTGGCGAAGTGCTGGGCAGATGACGAATGATGACAAAGGGATTAGCTGGTGGCTATGGGGCCAAGATGAAATTCTGCAATGGGTACTTTCTGTGTGCCGATGTCCTACAGCCCAGACCCCACGCCAAGCTCATGGACTTACAGGTGGGGCTACACACACAAACTCACATCCACACACACCCCTGCATATTCACATCCTTGAACACATGAAGACATGGCTCTACACAGGGGACGTATTTTTATTTTTTATTGCCATATAGTTTACATGTAATACAGTATACAGATCTTAAGTGTTCAATTAGATGGTTTTGACAGTTTACACCCTTGCGACCACCACCCAAAACAAACTATAGAACATTTTCATTATTCTAGAAAGTTCCCTCATGCTCCTTTCCATTAGTCTCTCCAAACAGCTACTTCCTGATTTCTATCACTATAGATTCGTTTTGCCTGTTCTTCAATGTATATTTTTATATACAAATGCATTGACAGCCTCGTTGCCCCACTCTCACATATACACAAGCCCCACACATCCATATCCACAGACCATTTTTTACCCTACAATAGGCTTAGGCCACGGTCATGTACTATCAGATTTTTGCTGTTGGGTACATGTATTATATGCTAACCTATGTTCTCTTCAACCCTACAGTCATACCTCAAGTCAAGTATTTTGGATCTTTCCTTTCAGGTTCTTGAGCTAAAATGAAGAGTCAGAAAGGTGGTAATCATTCCACCTTGGATGGGAGTTTATTTGCCTCTGTGTGCTCTAGGGTATTGGAAAATGGGGACGTGTTTTAAGCCAGAACTGTATTTAGATAAATAGCTTTCACTTTTAGTTGTGGCCCATACCTGCTGGAAGTCAAAGGATTTGGCTCTCCAACATACATTCCAGCCCAACAACTAGGAGGTGGGAGACTGGCGACAGCAGAGGCAGCCAGAAGCTGCTGGCAAGGCACTCCCAAGACCAGAGAGGTGCCGAGGGAGGCGGATCTAAGTCAGGAGCAGAGCCTTCAGTCCTGAGGCCAGCCAGAGGTCAGGGAAGTGAGGGCAAAGCTGTGAGCCTGGTCGGGGCAAAGGTCCCGTGTCAGAGGAACAGAGGGTGGGGCCTAGGCCCAGTCAAGGAGCGGAGGAGAAGCATGTGCTGGAGGCAGAGTTGGAGGAGGTGAGACCAGACGTGGTGGTCATGGCCTTTGGGAGACTGTTGCAGTTCCTACCTCTGACAGCTGACTTGCTGCGTGGGTAGGCCTGTCCCCCTCACAGGACCACTAGGGTACCTCTCAAGGGTGTAGTGGGCCTAGGTTTGGGAACATGGAAGTGAAAGCAAGATAGAAGACAAGGGACAGGGATGTGGGCAGCTGGTCTAGGCCTCTGGCCCATACCTGTTGCTTCAAAATACAGAGATACTAGCGATCGCTAACAGTCGGACCTGGCGCCCCTCTGAACTAAGAGACACATTTCAGGACCACTTCTGGCCAGGGACTATGTCTTCTAGCTTTGTCAAGGTTAAGGCCACAAAGAACACGTCAGGCCGGAATCGAGGAAAGACTGTACCAGGTCCCTTAGGATCCTGGCCCCCAGGCCACACCATAGGCTCCCCTTGCTTATAAACTTGGCCAGCTCCTGCTCCGGTCTTTGTCCAGAGATTCTCTGCATGGTGCTTTATGTCTGCTGGACTTGTAGCTATCAGAGGCTCCTAGATGGAGTTGCAAAGAGAAAAGAAAGGTAGGAGTAAAGGAACATCTGTTTCCTAACCTCCTGCTCAATGCCAGGCCGAGTGCTGGGCAATTTATGTCAGTTGTCTCAACATAACATCCCTCCACCTTCCCAGTGTGTATCACTGCCTCAGTTTACAGGTGACGGCACTGATGCCTGTCACTGCTTTTAAGCCTTGGTCATCCTAGTACAGCCTCAGTTCCCCGCAGAGAACCAGGGCATAGTGAAGTTGGCTGTGGCCCCCGACTTGTATCTGTGCAGTCCTCTGGTCCCTGCTCAGCCTGAGCCAGGAGCCCAAAGGGAAGCTGATGGTCTGGCTCATCTTACCCACTGGAAGCAAATCCCATCACTTGTGTCCCCCGAGACTGACTGGGGCTGAACGCTAGACAGAGCTCTCAGTGTCCTGGAACTCCTCTGACAGCAATGGTGTCAGTGAGAATGGAAGGCTCCAGGCCTTGGTCAGGCACAGGGAGGCAAGAAGGGCTGGGTTTGGTCTGTTTCCCTCTTAGTCTCAGGCTATGCCTACCCCTAATGAAACACCCCTTCCCAACTGGCAGTTTTCCCCAGATACAGACACGTGCTCTCACTGGATCTGAGCTCACCAGTCCACCTGTCTCCAGACAGCCCTGTGCTGACTGGGAGAGAGAGCCACAAACTAGCTCCCTGGTTTGAAGAAAGGCTGGGCCATCACTGGAAGGGTAAAGACCCTTCCTGCTGGTGGGTGGCCAGTGTGCAGGGACAAGGACTGTGTCGGCACCCTGCTCTCCTGACAGCGTAAGTGGGTCTGCTTGCCACCCGGAAAGTTGTGTGAATTTCTCAGACTGGTCACTTCTTAGGAGGATCAATCTGTCTCTCGCCCCATCAAGCTAGACCCCCAGAGGTGCTCTCTCTGACCCCTCTTCCCACCTGCCTGCCCATTCCCCTGCAAGAACTATCACATTAACTGCCCGGAAACTCTCTTATGAAGAGCTGTGCTGTGCTGAGAGTCCAAAGGGGGATGTCTTAAACTTACCATTTTGACACCACTGTTTTGAGCAGTCACTAGGAAAAGGAGACTTGTTAGAAATAATCAATATGAATGGAACTCAGCGGGAGAAACCATACTCAGTGAAGCCTGATACGCTAAAAATCTGATTAAGGAATCAAATCTTTATTGTAAGATTCACACACAAAAAAGACTTGGTCTTGGCAAAAATAATTTTGGCTAAACAAAATTGAAAGGGAAAAAATTGGAATTGGTTAACTATGAAATAAAATCAAATAAGGAAGTAAAGTGGGTTAATGGAATTCACTAAGGAAAATGCTTTGGGCAAAAACTCATCAATGTTGGTTTAATGGTTTTATGTAAAAGCTCAGTATCAAAATATTCTTAGGGCCCGAACGGTGTAGCTAAGACGTCTTAAACCCTGCAGAGTTCAGAGTGGCGCTGGGAGGGACGTTGGTGCTCAGTCCTCCTGACTAGCCATGCCCCTCCTCTCACTCACAGGAGCCACGCTGTGAGCTTCAGGCACTGCTCTCCCCCTTCTGCACTTTCCCGGCAGGTGAGCGGCTGTCTTGCTTGACCAGGGAGAGTGCCCCTTTTGGGAAGGAGGGAGGTCTGAAGGAGTTGATCCCTGGGGCTGGTTGGTTTGTACCTGGATGCCCGGAGACAGTCCCTCAGCTGGTGAATGAAGAGATGGAGCTTGTAATGGGGGAAAGTAGCTGGGAGCTCCAGGGTGGGCCCGGAGCCACAGACCAGGTAGGTTAGGAGCCAGCTGTTGGGTTAGCTTAACAAAGTTGTGGGACTAGACACAGAGTCCATCCTGTTACCACTTCCAAAATGGCCTAGACATGGCTTTTGGAGGCACAGGACCTGGGAGCTGACTGGGGTGGGGGTGGGGAGGTCCTAAGGAGAAATCTAACTGTGGCATCTATATGTATGGCATCAAGTCAAGATGGCCCCGTTGGTGAAGGCAGGAATGGTGACTAACAATTTATTAATTCAAAACAGAGCACTACTCTGCCCCGAAAATCCCGGGCCCTGGGTGGGGATACAGCAGTGAACAAGAAGGACAGGATCCCAGCCCTTATGACCTGTACGTTCCGGTGGGGGGAGACTGCTGATAAAACAAGCAAACGAATGAGCCTGATAATGTCAGATAACAGCAAGTGGGGCAAAGACAAAGAAACTCATATTCTGAGAGATCGCCCTGACCACCATGTGAAGATTAGACTGTAGGGAGAAAGCAAGAGGCAAGAAGTCCTGTTGGGAAGTGTTATATCATCAGGAGAGAGAAGATCGTACTTGGTCTAGGATGTTAGCCCTAGAGGTGGAGAGAAATGCATGCATTTGGAATATATTTAGATAGTAGAGCTAATAGATTGGATGTGAGGGGCCGAGGGGCAGAGGGATTAGGGATGTGGAGTTGAGTGACTAGGTGGATAATGATGCTGTTTATTGAGACTGAGAAGACTACAGGACAAACCATTATTGGAGATGTGGGGCTGTGTGGATTAAAAGTTCTGTTCTGGCCATATTATATTTGAGATGCCCGTCAGGCATCCCAGTGGAGTTGGGTGCCCAGTGGAGAGCTCGAGCTGGGGCTGCAGTTTGGGACTCATTGGTAAACAAGTGGTATATTCAAGGGGCTAGACGAAGCACCTAGACTCAAGATCTTAGAGTGGTGGTTCTTAACTAGCAGTGACTTTGCCCTTTTCTTTCAGGGGACATTTGGCAATGCCTGGAAACATTTTTGGTTGTTACAACTGGGTGGGGGAATGTTTGCTACTGGTATCTACTGAGTAGAGGCCAGGGATGCTGCTCAGCATCCTGCAATGCACAGGTCAGCTCCCTACAACAAAGAATTATCTGGCCCCAAATGTCAGCGGTGCTGAGGTTGGGAAGTCCTGTCCTAGAGTGAGAGTGTGGATAGAGAAGAAAAGATGGCTCTGTCCAAGGGGCCTTCTTCTGTGAAGAACAGAGCCTCCTGCAAAGAAGACTGAGCAGGAACAGTCTGAGAAGCGGGATGGAAGCCTAGAGAGTGTTGGGGAAGGACGAGTGCTCAACTGGGCTAAATGCTGCTAAGAGACGCCTTTGTTTGAGCCCAGAGAGAAGTGACTAATGGCTTAGGCAAGATGGACTTTGTTGATGACCTTGAGAAGAGCAGTTTCTGTGGTTTGATGGGGTTAGAAGCTCCAGGGGAGAAGGTTGTGCCAATAGCCAACAATTACTGAGTGTTTCCTCCCTGCTCAGAATGCCTTACGTCTGTAATTTCATTAATCCTTATTTTACAGAAGTGGCAATACTATTATTACCCCTGTTTTACAGGGGTGGAAACTGAGGCACAGAGAGGCTAATTACTCCCCAACGTCAGGCAGCCGATAGTGGCAGAGCCAGGATTTGGACCTTTAGAGTTTGGAGGTGAGGAAGCGGAGGCAGTGGGTCAACACTAGGCTTTTGAGAAGCCTTGCTGTAAAGGCGAACAGCGACAGGTACAGTAGTGGGTGTTTGCATGCCGGCAGGAATGATCCGTGTGGAGGCTGGAATTGGTGACGGAGGGTAGGCTGAGAACCGAAGTCTTGAGGAGGTGAGAAGGATCCAGGGCCTGTGTCCACGGGGTGGCCTCTCCCGGGAGCATCGTACTGGTGACTCTGAAGTGGACCCTAACTGTTGTGAGCAAGATTACCGCTGGACTCAGCTTCTCCCCACCTGGTCCCTGTTGGCCTCCAGAGGTCTGCTGGGCAACTCCTTGTAGCCCCTGCCCCTGCAGGAAGCTGCTGCACAGGCCCAGCCTTCCCCCTCAGTGTCCCTGGGGCACCAGAGACAGCCCTGCCATCAGGGCCAGAGCCCAGGCCTGCCAGGCAGTTCTGTCAATGCACGGCAGCGAGTCTCCACCCCATGTTGACCATTGTGATCCTTATCCTCATCCTGATAGGCCCCTCACGAGGGGACTTGTGTCGGTCTCCTCAGGGTCTTCACTCACCACTCTCTCCCTGCTGTCGCCACACCAGGCTCCCCGACCTCTCTCAGATACCGAATGTTCTTTCCTGCTCCTTCACCCGCTATCCCTCTTCCACCTGGCTGTCTAGTCTAGCCTCCTATCTCAGCTTAGCAGTCCCATCTCAGACAGCCCTTCTCTGATCGCCCTAACTGGGCGAGGCCATCCTCCTAGCTCCTCCTCTGACCCTTGATGCTGACTTGTTGACAGTGCTTTTCCCTTGTGTCATGCATTTTGTGTCCAGTGTCTGCATTCCATGCTGAATTGTAACTGTCATGAGGGCAAGTCTAGTTTCCCATAGCTGTTTCCAGTGCCTGACATATGGCAGGCACTTGGTAATTATTTGGTGAGAGAACAAATGAATTGGTGAGTGTTTTACAGCCCACTTGGTATTTCTATGGCTCAGATATGTTCCAGATTTTGTTCTCCCCTGCACACATTTCACTACAAATTTTTGAAGCTTTCTTGATCACTTTCATCTTCACGTAAAGGTGTTTTAAGAAAGAATTTAATTCAGTATCTTACTTTGCGGCCATTTGTTTAAAATGGAAAGAGGTACTAAGCTTGCACATTATTGACTCTTCCCAACAGGATGGCTGATTTGGTTTTGTGTGAACCAATAGAGCTTTACAACATCTTGAATCAGGTCACAAAACTATCCAGATTGACTGAACCCAACTATCTCTGTTTATTGGGTAAGTATTTCAAAAAAATATGTTGCGGACAGTGTCCTTCAAACATTTTTGATGAATGAACAAACTTTTGGGGATGGGGGAAATAAATGACTTTAGAAAATTGTTAGACTCAGTAAGCGTGGCTTAAAATTGCTGCTAACTGTCACATACTTGGAAATCATCCCAGATTAAATCTGGAAGAGAAGTTCCTGGAAGACTCGTGTTCTGAGTCCTCTTGTTATTGTTTTTAGTGAAATATTTTAAACATCTAACAAATATATGGTAACACTAGTAAACACTCAAGTACCCACCACTCAGATTTAACATAACGAATACAATGTTACACACATAGATGTACGCCTCTGTTTGTACCCCATCCTGGTCCCGTTCCTTTCCCTGCCAAAGATGACTGCTTCTGTACGCTGAATGCGGTGCTTTTCCTACTTGTAATGTGTTTTTTTGTCCAGTGCTCCATTCCGTGCTAGACTGTAAGCGTCCTGAGGGCAGGTCTAGTTTACCACAGTTATTTCCAGTGGCTGGCATATAGGAAGTGCTCAGTAACTATTTGCAGAAAAAAGAAATGAATTGGTGACTATTCATTTCACATTTTCACTTCCTGTGCAGGCATCCCAAAATAATGTGTGGTTGAAGCATTTACACAACTATACCGTAATGTCCAATCATCCTGCAACTTGCTTTTTCTTTTCCTTAAAACCATATTTTTGAGATCCCGTTCCTGTCTAAATGTGGAGATCTAATTTATTTATTTTAACTGTTAGGTGGACTCTCTATCCATTCCTTATTGATTGCAATGTGTTGCTTGCATTGTGTTGCTATTCTGAACAGTGCTGCATTGAACAACTGTGTGCATCTCTCCTTACTCGTGGGCAAGAATTTCTTCAGGTTCCCTACCTAGAAATGGAATTGCCAGTTGCAAATTCAGTTTCACTACATGATTGTCAAATTTCCCTCCAAAAAGATTCTGTCAGTTTAAACTCCCATCAGCAGTGTAAGAAACATTCCTATCAGTACCTGGTTTTGTCAGCATTTAAAATTTTTGCAATCAGGGCCAGCCTGCTGGCTGAGTGGTTAAGTTCGTGCGCTCTGCTTCAGTGGCCCAGGGTTTCCCTGGTTCAGATCCTGGGCACAGACATGGCACCACTCATCAGGCCATGCTGAGGTGGCATCCCACACAGCACAACCAGAGGCACTCACAACTAGAAGATACAACTATGTACTGGGGGGCTTTGGGGAGAAGAAGGAGGAAAAAATATTTTTTGCAGTCTAATTGGTGTGACCTGTATCATGATGTTTTTTCCCCCAATTAAAAAAATTGTGATAAAGTACACATAACATAAACATTTCCATCTTAAACCTTTTTAAATGTACAGTTCAGTGGTGTTAAATACATTCATAATGTTGTGCTGCTATCACCACCATCATCTCCATAGCTCTTTTCATCTTGTAAAACTGAAACTCTATACCCATCAAACAATAACTCCCTGTTCTCCCCTCGCACCAGCCCTGGCAACCACCACTCTACTTTCTGTTTCTATAATTTTAACTGCTCTTGTTACTAGTGCTGTTGAGTTGATTCCAACTCCTAGGCATCCTGTGTGTAGCAGAGTGGAACCCTGCCTGGTCTTGTCGTGCCATCCTCTCATCTTCTGGTGCTATACCAGACAGGGCTCCATTGTTATTCATAGGGTTTTCATGGCCAGTTTTTTGGGGAGTGGATGGCCAGGTCCTTCTTCCTAGTCTTTCTTGGTCTGCAAGCTCTGCTGAAACTTGTCCACCATGGGTGACCCTACTGGTATTTGAAATACGGGTGGGATAGCTTTCTGCATCACAGCAACACGCAGCCACCACAGTATGACAAGCAACAGATGGGTAGTGTGGTTCTCTGGCCAGAAAACGAACCTGAGCTGTGATGGTGAGAGCGCCAAATCTTAACCACTAGACCACTGCTAGCCTACTCTTGGGACCTCATATAAGTGGACCACACAGTATTTATTCTTTTGTTGACTGGCTTATTTCACTTTGTATAATGTCCTCAAGGTTCATCCAAGATATAGCATGTGTCAAAATTTCCTTCCTTTTTAAGACTGAATAATATTCCGTTGTGTGTATTTACTACATTTTGCTTATCCATTCATCCATTGATGGACACTTGAGTTGCTTCTGCCTTTTAGCTATTGTGAATGATGCTGTTGTGAACATGGGTGTACAAAATATCTCTGAGACCCTGCTTTCAATTCTTTTGGATACACCCAGATGTGGAATCGCTGGATCATATGGCAGTTCTCTTTTTAATTTTTTGAGGAACCGCCATAGTGTTTTCCACAGTGGCTGTACCATTTTACACTCCCATCAATAGTAGACAGGGTTCCAAGTTCTCCACATCTTTGTCAATACTTGTTATTTTCTGTTTTTTGTTTTTTTTTAAATAGTAATTGTCCTAATGGGTGTGAGGTGATATCTTATTGTGGTTTTGATTTGTAGTTACCTAGTGATTAGTGATGTTGAACATCTTTTCATGTCCTTATTGGCCATTTGTGTATCTTCTTTGGAGCAATGTCTGTTCAAGTCCTTTGCTGATTTTTGAATTGAGATTTTTTTTTTATTGTTGAGTTTTAGGAGTTCTCTGTATATTCTGGGTATTAATCCTTGTCAGACATATGACTTTCAAATATTTTCTCTCATTCTCTGGGTTGCGTTTTACTCTGTTGATATTGTCTTTTGAAGTAGAGGATTTTAAAATTTTCATAAAGTTCAATTTGTCTATTTTTTCTTTTGTTGCCTATGCCTTTGGTGTCATATCCAGGAAATCATTGCCAAATCCAGTGTCATGAAGCTTTTGCCCTATGTTTGTTTTCTTCCAAGAGTTTTATACTTTTAGGCCTTATATTTAGGTCTTTGATCCATTTTGAGTTAATTTTTGTAGGTGGTGTTAAAGGGGTCAACTTCGTTCTTTTGCTTGTGGATATCCAGTTTTCCCAGCACCATTTGTTGAAAAGACTTTCCTATTTATGGTCCCTTGACATTGCGTATGAATTTTAGGATGGGTTTTTCTATTTCTGCAAAAAAATGTCATTGGGATATTGATAGGGATTGCACTGAATCTGTAGATTGCTTTGGGTAGTATTGACATCTCAACAATATCAAGTCTTCTAATACATGAACATGGACTGTTTTTCCATTTATTTTTCTCTTCTTTAATTTCTTTTAGCAATATTTTATAGTTTCCAGAGTACAAGTCCTTCATCTCCTTGGTTAAGTTTATTTGTAAGTATTTTATTCTTTTTGATATTGGAAATGGAATTGTTTCCTTAATTTCATTTTCAGATTGTTCGTTGTTAGTGTATAGAAAAACAACTGATTTTTGTATATTGACCTCATGTCCTGCAACTTTGCTGACTTGATTTATTACTTATAACAGGTCTTTTGTGTGGAATCTTTAGGGTTTTTACATATGCGAGCATATCATCTGAGACTGAGATGATTTTGCTTCTTCCTTTCCAATTTGGATACCCTTTATTTCTTTTTCTTGCCTAATTACTCTGGCCAGAACTTCCAGTACTCTGTTAAATAGAAGTGGTAAAAGTGGGCATCTTTGTCTTATTCCTGATCTTAGAAGAAAAGCTTGCAGTCTTTCACCATTCAGTATAAGTTCACTGTGGGTTTTTCATATATAGCTTTTATTATGTTGAGGTAGTTTCCTTCTATTCCTAGTTTGTTGAGTGTTTTTATCATGAAAGTGTATTGAATTTTTTAAAATGCTTTTTCTGCATCAATTGAGATAATCATGAATTTTTCCCCTTCATTCTGTTAAAGTGGTATATTACATTGATTAACTTTCATATGTTTAACCATCCTTGGCTTCTAGGAATAAATCCCACTTGATCATGTTGTATAATCCTTTTTTTTTTTTAAAGATTTTATTTTTCCTTTTTCTCCCCAAAGCCCCGCGGTACATAGTTGCATATTTTAATTGTGGGTCCTTCTAGTTGTGGCATGTGGGATGCCACCTCATCGTGGCCTGATGAGTGGTGCTATGTCTGCACCCAGGATCTGAACCAGCGAAACCTTGGGCCACCAAAGTGGACTACGCGAACTTAACCACTCGGCCATGGGGCTGGCCCCATGTATAATGCTTTTAATATGTTGCTGAATTGTTTTGCTAGCATTTTGTTGACTGTTTTTACATCAATGGTCATGAGAGATATTGATCTCTAGTTTTCTTTTATTGTAGTGTCTTTGTTTGACTATAGTATCAGGGTAATGCTGTCCTTACGGAATGAACTAGGGAGTGTTCTCTTCTCTTCAAATTTTTGGAAAAATTTGAGAAGGATTGGTATTAATTCTTCTTTAAATGTTTGGTAGAATTCAGCAGTGAATCCATCAGGTCCAAGGCTTTTTTTTTAGTTTAAAAAAATCAATTATATTTTAATAAACACGTGAAGTTTTTCTCTGTGAGAATGAATAGACATTTAGGTCAGAAATTTCAAGAGGTTTGTCTTCATTTTTCAAGACAATAAGTGATAGTCTGAATTAAAGTGTTATATTCCCAAGGAGTGATGGATGAGATCCTTTCTTGACAGCAGCTGTTGGTTGATTAGATATGGGAAAGGCCCTGTCTGGGTACTGGACTGCAGAGGCTACAGACCAGAGAAAAGCTTCAGTGCACATACTGTACTTGACTTATAATTCTGCTTTGGGTCAACTCTGCTGGTAGGAGAGTATATATGTGAATTATAATACTATACCCTTCCCTGTGAATGTACACCCTGTAAAGATCCAGTTTCCTAAGTAGAGTGTTAAAGTGGTCTGTGCAGGGCTTTTCTTTGTCAGGCAATTTTTGATTACTGATTCAGTCTCCTTACTAGCTTTACGTCTCCTCAGATTTTCTATTTCTTCATGATTTAGTGTGGGTAGGTTTTGTGTTTCTAGGAATTTGTCCATTTCATCTAGGTTATCCAATTTGTTGGCATATAATTGTTCATAGTACTTTCTTATAATCCTTTTTGTTTCTGTAGAACCAGTAATAATGTCCCCCTTTTCATTTCTGATTTTAGTAATTGGAGTCTTCTCTCTGTTTTTCTTAGTTCATCTAGCTAAAGGTTTGTCAATTTTGTTTATCTTTTCAAATAACCAACTTTTGGCTTTATTGCTTTTTTCTCTGTTGTTTTTCTGTTCTCTATTTCATTTATCTTTGCTCTAATCTTTATTATTTCCTTCCTTCTGCTAGCTTTGGGTTTAGTTTGTTATCCTTTTTTTAGTTCCTTAAGTTGTGCACTTATATTGTTAATCTGAGATCGTTCTTGTTTTTTAATGTAAGCATTTATAGCTATAAATTTCCTCATTAGCACTGCTTTTGCTGTGTCCCATAAGTTTTGGTATGTTGTGCTTTCATTTTCATCCAGTTCCTAAGTATTTTCTAATTTCCTTCGTGATTTCTTCTTTGATCCATTGGTTGTTTAAGAGTGTGTTGTTTAACTTTTACAAATTTGTGAATTTTCCCGTTTTACTTGTGTTATTGATTTCTAACTCTATCCCATTGTGGTCAGAGAAGATACTTTGTATGATAGCTATCTTTTTAAATCTGTTGAGCCTTAATTTGTCTCCCAGCATATGGCCTATCCTGGAAAATGTCCCATGTCCCTTTGTATGCTGCTGTTGTGGGGTAGAGTGTTCCGTATGCGTCTGTTGGATCTAGTTGGTCTGTTGTGTTGTTTGTTGTCTGTTTCCTTACTTATCTTCTGTCTGGTTGTTCCAGCCATTATTACAAGTAGAGTATTGAAGTCTCCAACTATTATTGTGGCACTGTCTATTTCTCCCTTCAGTTCTGTCAGTTTTTGCTTCTTGTATTTCAATGGTCTGTCATTAGGTGTGTAAGTGTTTACAATTGCTATATCTTATTGCTGTATCAAATCTTTTATTAATATATCATGTCCTTCTTTGTCTCTTCTAAGGTTTTTTTATTTAAAATCGATTTTCTCTGATATTAGTTTAATCACCCCTGCACTCTTTTGGTTGCTATTTGCATGGAATATCTTTTTTGATCCTTTCATTTGCTGTCTATTTGTGTTTTGGGATATAAAATGAGTCTCTTGTAAACAGCATATAGTTGGATCATCTGTTTTTATCTAATCTCTTTCTTTTGATGGGAGAGTTTAATCCATTTACATTTGAAGTAATTACTAATAAGGAGGGACTTACTTCTGTCATTTTGCTGTTTGTTTTCTATATGCCTTATAGCTTTTTTGTCCTTTATTTCCTGCATTACTGTCTACTTTTGTGTTTGATTGATTTTTTTGTAGTGAAATGTTTAAATTATTTCTCATTTCCTTTTGTGTATATACTCTAGTTATGTTCTTTGAGGTTACCATGGGTATTACATGCAACACCCTAAAGTTATAGCACTCTAATTTGAATTTATCCAGATTAACTTCAATAGCGTACAAAACTCTGCTCCTTTACAGATGTGTCCCCACCCCTTTCAGCTGTTGATGTCACAAAATTATACCTTTATACATTGTGTGCTCAAAAACAAGCTCATAATTCTTTTAAATATATTAATCTCTTAAATTATATAAGAAACAAAATGTATAGTTACAAACTGAAGTTAACAATAATAGTAGCTTTTAAATTAATAATTAATTAAAAAATATTAGTCTCTTAAATCATGTAGAAAACACAAAGTGGAGTCACAAACTGTTGTGACAATAATACTAGCTTTTATAGTTGACCATATATTTACCTTTGTTGAGATCTTTATTTCTTTATACAGCTTCAAATTACTGTTCAGTGTCCTTTCATTTCACCTTGCAGGACTCCCTTGAACATTTCTTGTAGGGTCTAGTGGTAACAAACTCCCTCAGCTTTTGCTTATCTGGGAATGTCTTAATTTCTCCCTCGCTTTTGAAAGGACAGTTTTACCAGATATAGGATTCTTGGTTGACAGGTTTTTTGTTTGAGCGCTTCAATATATCAGCCCACTGTCTTCTGGCCTCCAATGTTTCAGATGAGAAATCTGCTCAGAATCTTATTGAGGAGCCTTTGTGTGTGATGAGTTGCTTCTCTCTTGCTTTCAAGATTCTCTCTTTGTCTTTTGAAAGTTTGGTTATAATGGGTCTTGGAGTGGGTCTCTTTGAGTTCATTTTACTTGGAGTTAGTTGAGCTTCTTGGATGTTTATGTTCATATCTCTCGTCAAATTTGGGAAGTTTTCAGTCATTATTTCTTCAAATATTCTCTCTGCCCCTTTCTCTTTCCTGCTTCTGGGACTACCACAATGCACACATTGGTCCACTTTATCTTGCCCCACACGTCCCTTATGCTTTATTTATGTTTCTTCAATCTTTTTTCTTTCTATTCTTCAAACTCAATAATTTCCATTGTCCTATCTTCAAGTTTGCTGATTCTTTCTTCTCCCTCCTCAAATCTGCCTTTGAATTCCTCTAATCAATTTATTATTTCAGTTATTATACTTTTCAGCTGTACATTTTTTAAAGGTTTTCTATCTCTTTATTGATATTTCCATTTTGTTCATACTTCATTTTCTTGACTTTCTCTGTGTGTTCCTTTAGTTTTTTGAACATCTTAAAGAGAAGTGTTTTAAAGTCTTTGTCTACTAGACCTACCATCAGATCTTTCTCAGGGACAGTTTCTGTTGATTGATCTTTTTCCTTTGAATGGGCCATACTTTCCTATTTCTTTGTATGCCTTGTGATTTTTTTCTGTTGTTGAAAACTGGACATTTGAATCTAATGATGTGGTAACTCTAGAAATCAGATTCTCCTCCTTCCCCAGGGTTTGCCGTTTTGTATTATTTTTCGTGTGTAATGTTTTTGGTTTTTTGATTGATGTAGGCTGTCTCTGTGGTGAGGATCAGCCTGAGCTGTAAACCTAAGGTCGTTCCAGGTCTTTTTCAAGCCTGTGCTTTTCCCTGGGCATATGCAGCTGTTTTCTGATTTTCCCTATATGTGAATTTGTTTTTAAATGTTCTAGTTTTTAACGTCTGGTTCCAAAAAAGGGAAAAAGAGAAAAATGAAGGAGGGATAAGAGGGTCACCAGCCCTTTAAATTCCCTGGAAATCACTTCAGCCAGAAGGGGAAGGGCTTGCAACAATGTGTGGAGGTGCAGCAACAATGTCCACCCACCTCTTTGACTGTACCTCTGTGAACAGAAGCATCAATGAGCAATCAGGGGACAGATCTCTGATACTTAGAGGACAGTGTACATTTTGCAAACTGGCTTCTGCAAGCCATGTGCAACCTTCTCCAGG